AGATATTCAGACATTTGTATGTCTGTTACTCAGTCATGCTTAAATGGCTGCATAAAATTTAATGAAATTAATAGATTGGTGAATTATATATCCCAACTTAACACTACACTATTTTATATTACTGATGTACTCAAGCAAATACGTGTAAGTACGGCTGTGTGGTCCCAGCATAGGATAAACCACCCCTTTCTTTCCTGTGGCTGTCGTAAGAGGCACTTAAGGGAACTTAATAGTCGAGGGATGGGCAGCAGCGCCTCTCTTAACAACATCTCTAACAGCCTAACTGCGATTGCCAACCCGCCTGCCAAACGTGGCAACTACTGGCAAAACTTTCTTTATGAGGAAGGCATACGTTCAGCAGTGGACAGTTAACGACTGAAATGATAATGACTCGACCAAAACCGCGGGAAAGAGCTAGTATATAATATGTTGTCCTGAGAGTCCAGAATCCATTCCAGAAATTCTAATGTATTAAAAATAACCGTTTATGTGATGACATAGCAAATCAAATCTACAACTGTGCAACAATTCAATACAATTGGATATATCCGAAGACGATGTAAAACGGTCAATAGCTAAAATAACAATAGCTGCGATGATTTTGCATAATTTTATTGATCCAAATACCCGTGGATCATTGATCATCGGGTCAATAATACGTATTAAAATTGTCATTTCTAGCTAGTGTTGTACCGTCTTAAGTCGATGTTATTAAAAATGAACTAAGATTACCACTAGCCATCGAGTTTCAGATGCTCTATGAGGATCGATTGTAAATTTGTTATAAATTTATATTTCTAATATACTATGTAAATGAATAAACTATATAAACATTATTCCAAATATAAAAGTAACTTTATGTAAAAACCGTGTTGTTTTAAATAAAATACAATATTTAATATTTTATAATTTTATACATACCATTAGGTATGAATTAAGCACAAGCAGACATCGTGGTTGATTCCAGTGGAATTCGCCACGATGGGCTAACTGACCTGCTTTCAACGTCACCTATCATCCCTTACTGGTGCACCGCCAGCGTATACCAATAGCACAGACAGGGTTACCATTTTATTACGTTATATACAAGAATTAATTGCAATGGCTTCCAGGGAGAACCCTGGAAGCCATTGCAATTAATTCTTGTTGAATTCATCACGATGGACTAATTAACCTGCTTCATCATCACCTATCATCCCTCACTGGTGCCCCACCAGTATATACCGATAGCGCAGGCAGGGCTACAATTCCATTATTATCCATTAAAAACAAAAAAACCCACTAGTATCCATTAAAAAAATCATACATTAAAAAAAATTATCTATCGATAATCGATAAAATATAAATCTATATCTACGCCCTACGTGTTGTGCAAACCTCACTGTTGACCGATGGTGCGTGCCAAATGACATGATCGATCATTCGTTCATGGCGCTTTGTTGTACCAGATGCGGACTGTAACTAGGTATCCGGCGTGTTCGACACGTGCTTTACCGATTTTCTATAAAAAAGATGCATAAGTCTAAGAAAGTAAAGGAAAGACGGTTTAAAAATAAATCTTTACTTGCATATTATCTGACATATCCACTGCTGAACATAGGCATCCACCGTAAGGGGGATTTTGCCAATAGATTATACAGTATATATTAGGCAAAACGCCCCCTAGGGGAGACATATGTTTAACAGTGGACAGTTAAAGACTGATATAATGATGATGAGGGTGACAGTATGTGTCATTAAATTAATATAAAATATTAGAAAAAAAAACGTATTTAAAATAAATAAAACCGATCGTTTCAATAAGTGTGTAATTCAAAAGTAGATTGTATTCCACAAAAACCTACGTAAATTGTATTAAAACAAGTTATTTTCATTTAAAAACTAAACAAACTAATGAACCGATTTTGACAAAATTTCTATAAAACGAGACTATATGTTCTTTTAGATAAACAAATCATTTTCTATATCCGCTTACAACTAACGAAGCTATGAAGTAACAAACATACAATACAACCGAATTCAAAACCTTCTTCTTTTTAAGGTCGGTTGATTAGGCTTAAGTGTGATTTTAAGATAAATTTTATATAAAATCTAATAAATAAATAGATACTTGGCTATTTTAAGAATCAAGTATTTTTTTTCCGGATTCTACGCAACTTGAAATAAAATATAATTAAAAAAAAAACTATACTTGTGTATGCCAGCACACTGTTTTGAAAATAATTATAAAAAAACTGTACAACTTTTCTTGTTAGATAAATTAATAAAATAAAAATAAACGACGGGTTACAAAAACATCAGATTAACGTTAATTGCCTCAGCTCGCCAACTATAATGCATAAGTCGTGAATATACACAAGCACGTGAACTGCATATGTAGAATCAACTTAAATATTTAATATTAGGTGATATTACAAGAAACGAAGGCGTTATGTCTTCGTTTCTTATTCTCTATCTTATATATAAAGTTCTCGTATTACGGTGTTTGTTACCAAACTCCTCCGAAACGGCTTTACCGATTTTTATAAAATTTTGTGTGCATATTGGGTAGGTCTGAGAATCGGCCAACATTTATTTTTCATACCCCTCAATGATAAAGGTGACCTTCCCCAATATTACTTTTTTAATGGATTAAAAAATATTCTCCAAATAATGTATATGGCAAAACTAGTAACTAGTGTTATTATATGCATATTAATCATAAGAGAAAAAAATTAACTAATTATTTGTATAAAATTATTTTGTTTAATTCCATTAAAATTTGTATGTGCGTGACTGCCAACACTCTAAAATTCAAAACTACATATTTCGTCAACAAATAAATTGACAGAAACGAGCTAACTCTTCAATGAAGATATCATAAAGCCAACTAGCACCCCACATTGTTTGACCAAGCATTCCACACGTTCCGAATCACGGCAAAACCGCTAAACCCTTGTTCTCCAATAAAAATCACCAAGTCCGGTCCGGATATCGAAATTTTCTCACCCTCAAAAATGTAACACAACAATCTTATGGAACTATTTAATTTGACCAAGAATCGCTCTTATTATATAGGACGTAGAGTCCAAGGCACTGTTTTTCTAAGTTTGATATCAGTAAATCTCTCCCTTTCTAAGTGATTTGCCCCATATGTCGAAAACAAGTGAACTGGCTTCTTAACGCGCTGGACACCCCAAATTGAGGGTAGTCCGAGGGTGGAAATTGTCGGGTTTATTGAAATTTCCCATGGGTTATTTTCACACGTGGTCACATTGTGAAAGCGGTTAGGGGTTGAATTGACTAGAAAATATTTTCATAAGCTCCCGTTATAAATATTGTTAGACGAAGGTTTTGTGTTGGCAATAGTGAATGTATTTAATGTAATTGCTATAAATGATTTAAATGAATTAATGTTTGATTAAATTAATGAATGAACATTTATTTGCATAAAATCCAATATCATATTTCTCTACTAAATAATTTTATAGATAAAGATGACTTTATGATGAATCATTTAATAATATAATCATTACAAAGGCAATGTCAAATTATCTTGAATAATTATTTTCTCAATTATTGTTTCTTATTAACAGTACAATTAAATTTAAGTTGTAAACATACAAAAATTGGAGTCCATTAAAAAAAACCTATACCTTTTTTTAATAATAAATAATAATAATAATAACTTTATTGTAGATAAAAATCAGGTACACAATTTATTATACAGTGATTACTATACTAGGCTCGCAGGCCTGTAGTCAGTGAGTGGCTAATTTAGTCCATATTTATTGCCATTTACAGTCCGGTTCTTGTACAATTTTATTATTAAGGTACTCGAAAATTAAAATACATTTGGAATGAAATAAAAAAAAAAATACGTAACTAAACAAGAAAAAAAAAGAGAAAATTAATGCAAAATATTTGAGGTTTCATTAGGTACTTATTTCTAATACTATTACATATATTTATTAATTTTGTACTGCAAAAATAGGAGTCAAGCATACAGTCCGCCGGATAATTAGGCTACAGTATGGAGTTCTTCAAAAAGGGTGTATTAAAGTCCTTAAGGGTCGGCAACGCGTACGAGACACTCCTAGTATTACAAACATCCATAGGCTAGAGTAACCGTGTACCATCAGATGACTGTATGATTGTTTACCATCTTCGTGGTATAAAAAAAAATCTACTACAATGTACGCTTACTACATATAGTAATTTAATTGTATCTCAACCCTTTTTGCAATATCTTAACATCTTAGCTTGATTTACAGTAATGTGAAATATCTTTTTATCAAAATTGCGGCTAAAAATACTCTCCCCCATCCTTGATATCCTGAATAATTCATTGCATTGTCACATTCGACCGGAACTCGTTCAATTGGGCGGAAAGGCTTGACCGCGGAGGTCGAGTGACCTTTCCCTCTCGCCTCTCAAACCCTCACAAGTGTATCTTAGTTCCCCTTTGCTTCTTCAAGATTCTTATACGCGGAATATTGTTTGTCTAAAATAAGCTTGCACACTTGTATTTCAAGATTGCGCGGATTAGTGATCCTGTATAGGTAATAAAAATTAATTACAATAAAAAATCTTAATAATTACTTTGAAAAAAAAAAACTAGCTGCCTCGACAAATTTCTTTCTACTAAAAGTTATTCATAAAAAAAATTAGTTTTTCTGTTTTTCCGGGTAATTTTTCAATTTTTTTTCTTTTTTTCAATATTCACTCACATTCCTCGGACTTCAAGGAATATTTGAAAATATAATTAGTGGAATTGAATACCCAACCGTACTTGAGTTTTGCACTTAGCAACACGTTAAGCGATTCATTTTTAATTATATTAACATAAAGTTAAAATGAATGAGTAAAAATAGATTAATCGCCTGAAAAGCTTGTGATATCTTAGAGGTGAAGAGCAACAGGAATTAATAAGGTTGTAAATAAGTATATAAACATATTGACATTATAAAAACAATACACAAGTAAATGATCAAAAATTTTATTACGAAACTATAGACCAAACGTAAACTTTGCAAAAACCCATGTAATTCTTACAAAGATCACATTCAAAATCGAGAACTTTCTACAAATAAGTGAAGTAAATGCTTCTAAAATATATATTACAGGTCAAGATCGGCATCGTTTCTTCTATGTCTACGTCAAAATTCGACGAGATTTATACCACTGCCACTTTAGCAACATTTTGTAATAGCAACAAAATAGTGACAAAGAACAGTACAGTAGGTGGTATGGACTTATTTGATTTATTCTGGACAAGGACACGAGGGGGCGGCACTGGCATTACTAAAGCTTGGTTGTTGCAGCGGTTTAGCTGTAAACAAAACGCTGGATAAATGGTAAGTACAAAGGCGGGATTATTCCTGAAAGGGATTTAATGCATCTAACTTTGAGTGAGGTTGAGGATTTATTAAGTTTACGTAGGTGATGCTATTTAATTTTATATGCCGTCGTAAATAGGAGTAGGTGGCAAGGTTTCATCAATATCATCTATAGAAACATATATACTTATTTTTATAGAATACTTTTTTATACAACTTGTAATGGCAAACTAACTGACCTAAACTGACTAACTGACCGCCTATAGATATCAACAGTATCATGGAGATAACAGAAACTAAAAAAATAATTACAAATAAACAAATAAATGCCACTGAACGTACACAGCACTATCTGATAGTCGTACTTTTTTTTTATAAATACATACATATTAAACAATAAAACAGTGAAAATAATAACACTCTTATTCATAAAAATTAGAACCTTCTAGAAGTCTAATTTTTATATCGTTCTGTCACCTTCTTTCAAATTGGGATATTAGTATTTATTAGTGTAAAAGAAAGAGACAAAACAGTTCAATAGCTAAAATACGTTTGAAGTTTTTATGAATAAAAGGGTAAGTGTATATTTAGATGTAAACAGCATTTGTATTGCCATAAATTGTCCATTACTGACACTTACTGACTTTAGGCCATGTCATATCGATTTAGTTATTTCTAAAAATATCACAAATCTCTCAATTTAATGTATATTTAATATTTATTCATTAATTAGAGATGCATTGAAATCTAATGTCTACTAACCTTATACTTTTAATAAAATACATGTTTAGTACCTCACAGCAGGTCGTCTCTGGTGATCCTACACACCCAGACCGACAACCTCTTATCACAGACTCGTAATTATGACCCTTCGATATGACAGAGGTGAAGCACTTGTCTTGTGGGCTGTGACACGTCATTGTATGTACCCTGAAATAGATTATAAATATATTAAAATATATTTGTTTCTTATAGATTAACTACTGAAAGAGGTTTGTTTGATTCGAAGCATTTGGTGTTTCATTGTTTCTGCCTACCCTAATGGGAGACAGGCGTGTCAGATATGTATGTATGTATTAACTACTGCAATACGCATATTGCATAAAGCCGCAGCTTTCCCATGACAATATCATTTTTCGTATTCATATAGATCACTTATATGGGGGGCTCGAGTCATAATAACAAATCCTGACCTGTTTCTATTGCTTACTTGCATTAAATTAGAGATCATTTCTTCATTTGAGGTGTTTCGTTTCTTCTATCTATGCAATCTCCTTCGCCACTCGTCAAAAGTGGCGAATGAATTCATTATCATTATTATGATGTGTAGATTTTTTTCAGACAAGCGGTAAAAAAAACATGTCCATGGATAAATTTTTTCAACGCTGGGAAAGCAGCCTATTAGCGCTATTACTATTATATATAGCGCTATAATCATTCGAACTAGAGTATTCAGCTTTGTTTTTGCTACAAATATACTCATTTCAAATTCAATCACGAGGTGAAACTCGAGTATATGCTCGATAGACTTTTACCCAATGGTTAGCTGGTAGAGAATGCCATATGGCATTAAGCTCGCCATTTGTACAAAATTTTATTGTGCAATAAAGAATAAATAAATAAAAAATAAATACTCGTAGTTCTATTAATATTTTTTTAGCGACTTGAAACAACCTTATATGGCTAGTAAAACCATGTTTTAATTCCTTTTGTAGTCACTGGCAACATACACTAGGTAAATACTTTCGTCTTCAAACCGGAACACAGAATGTAAGTAAGCAATTTGATGGCCGCAATAATTCATATCGAAGTATCATTAAAACATGTTTGTTCAAAGTCTCCATATGGAAAATCTAAAATAAGATAATAATTCTGAAAAAGAACCTGTATTTAGTAGGATCCAAGCATGCCCTGATCGGAATTTCCGTCTTGAACGCACAGACGTAGCATTCTAACGGTCGCTTCTTGGTCGTCCTGGTAACGATCAATGCTTTGGATATTAGCAACAATTCAGGAGCCTGTGTACCTGCTATACGTTCACCCTTCTCTAATTGTTCTTCCTCGTCTTCGTCATCTTCTTCATCTTCTTCATCACCAGGATCTTCACTATGCCTAAAAATAAATCAAATATTTTTGATTTTCTTCAACTTATCAATTTACAATCTCTTACGATTTTTCTTGTATTTGTGATTTGCAATAATTAATTTGTCACATTTATTTTTTAGAATGAATCTGTTTTTATTTTTAAACTACTATTTACAACATTTTGATACACCCCATTAGTTTTTAAGGCTTAATATTCTAAGATTTTACCCCGCAAAAAGCAGCTCATACGGCCGTGATTTTAAAACTTCCTTAGAATTACACTAAACCATATTAAATGCAAAGAAAAAAATATCAAAATCGGTTCTAAATACAAAAACACAGGCGAATTGTAAATCATCTACTTTTAAAAAATGCTTAAAAACTTGTAAAAATAATAATTTATAAATTCACTAAATTAACTTAATCGTTAAATATTACTACTTCCAGTCAGGTAGACGTCTCGTTTATCCTCTTAAAACTAAGAAAAAGAAAACACGTTAATGTTACTTGCAAATGAATAAAAATATCCTACATTGAATCCTATCAATATTTTTTTTCGTCATGACCCTATTTCCTCAGCGGAAATTTTAAGTACGAGTATTAACATTGGTACGTTACAAAAACATCTACAACTTACTCTTCGTCCTCATCATCGTCTATCCTGGAGCCAATCCTCATCGGCAGTAGCAACAACATGGTCAGTACCAAGCAATATCTCCACCTTATCATCTCACCACCTTCCGGTCACTGGACCCCCAAAAAACTCCCCTAAATGCACCAACACACTAGATTTGTCATTTTGTTACCAAAAATATATATATATTTTGACAGGATTAGATGTTAGATTTTTACGCTTGACAGCGACTTTCAATGGTTTCCACGTTTAAAATTTCTTCTTTGTTTTTTGCCGATGCTTTTTGTATTATGAAACTCCTTTGCTAGAAAATATATCTTTAAGATTATACACTTTACATATCCATCTGATTATTGCAAGTCCGTCTAGTTTCTTGTGTATTTCTCATTTATTATTTTTGTGTGTAAATCTTCTACTAAGATGGTAAGCAATCTGCTAAATAATCTATAAAACAGTAAATAAATCCATTTGAACAATATGAATACAATAGACTTACCTACAAGTGAATATATAGCGACCTATTTCACCCTGACGACTATTACGAACATACAATATTGGAGAATGCATATTAAAATCAACTCCTGCCATCTAGTGAATTTAATCTGAACTTGCCACTCAAACATAGGTGGCGCTTTTATAAGTATTTCCAATAAGATGTATACGAACTCGTTTATACAAATAAAACTTTTAAACTGTTTCCCTAATAAGACTACCTAAACAATATTTTTATAAGATTGAGACAAAGTTGTAATTACAAAAAAATATATAGATAGATACTCTTTATTGCTTCCTCTAAAAGATTACAGTAGTAAACTTATTATAAATATATAAATAATTAGAAGAAATAATCACAATGAGAAAACAATGGGCAACCTTATCGCTAAAGGCGATCTCTTCCAGGTAACCTTTGAATGGAGAGAAGTAATATATAACATTACTCCTCTCCATTAATTACTTTCACAATTTTAATTTCAAAAGGTTTAGTTTTCACGATTTTTAATTCTTCCTTTAATGTGATATGTAAAGTAAGGCAAATAATGTAATAAATAACTAAAAGCCTACCTATTAAGAATTGATGCTTTAATTTTGTTGTATATTATTAATCGTGTATAGTAAATAGCAAAATTAAAGTATCAATTACCTAATATTAAATATTCTAATTCGTGTTTTTTGAATGCCTGAATTGACTTATAAATTTTGCAAAATTGTTTACAGGTAGAGAGGGAATAATATTTATTTAAATTAAATTTGCATACTAAAATTGCATTGAAATGATTAAGAGTCCCAGATGGACCCGAAATTAGTCACAAAAACTTGCCTAAAATACACGTAAGTCAATACTATATATACTACTATATATACAATAACTTAAAATCATCATTATTGTTATACAGTTACCTTTATATTGACATGTAGTAACTAATTTATAATGTTAACTATATTCATTTGTTATTTTATTTTTATTTTATAATTTAAATCTTATTGTTATTATTTATTTTATTAATTTCAAAATTATAATGTAAATATTGACTTGCCATTGTGTGACGAAAATTGTTACATTGGTTAATAAAGAAATATGAATATGAATACTATTAATCTTACAGTTAAAATTTGTATAGTATATATAATTTAATGCATTATTTGTATAAATAAATTAATGACATTCCTAATGGGAAGTAGTAACCGTTACCTGCAGCCATAAATAACATCCTGGAAAACCATCACAAATACAATGTCATGCACATATAATCTCTAGTTTTCCATCTTGACGGCCCTTACCTATCAGATATAAGTAGGTGACTGAATAAACAATGTATTCCATTGTAATAACGAAGTGTTTTGGTGGATACGATTATCTACATAGGCAAACATTATGTTTTATACACATGTCACAGCATACTTATAAAAGTAAATACAATTTATCAGCGTCCTTTTATTCTGTCAGTAAATTTAAACACTTTCACTAAAGAAATTACGGATCAAAACGCGATATAGATAGATAGATAAACACTTTATTTGATCCATTTATGACACACGTAAATTAACAAATGAGTTTATACAATTAGATTATATACATTTTTTTAAATATAAAACAAAAGATAAAGTATGGAAATATATTTTCACCAAGTGTGTCACAATGACCCAAATAGGTGATATACAATTTAGGACTTCCAATACTAAACTTAATACTAGATGCGAAGTATTTTTTCAAGAATAATATTTAATTTCTTTGATATAATACTTTCTTATAAAATAATGTCGGTTTAATCTCTTATATAGAACTCTTAATTATAGTTATATTATTCTTTAGAACTCTGATCTACAGTTATATTATTCAGATATAATTAGCTATTTAGTATACTCTGTCATGTTTATGTCCATAACACTGCTCATGTCTAGGTATAGGTGACGGTTACCACTTCCCAATAAGTAAACCCTCAGCTTGTTTGTTGTTCTAAATTACATAAAAAAAAATACTTACAGATTATATGTTTGATGGAAATGCGTACAATAACATAGCACTTATATATTCAAAATCTAGCGCTAATACAGAGTAATTTGTTAAAGATTAACACGGTACCTTATATATTATTATTAGATAATAGCAATAACAAATAACTTGAGATTTAAACTACAACTAACGCTATAAAATTAAAAAAATCAAAGTATTTTGGATATCCTTAAAAGGTCAACAATAATTTCCAAATTTGAGAATTAAACTGATGAATCAAATCTACTTCAATGCAAGTCTCTATATAAAACAAATTTATTGAAACAAATTTAGGCATTTTAACTATACAGTCTATACTGTATTGATAAAATGCCTTTAGCTATAATAATGATACGCCTATACTAATGTAGTCATTTTGATAATTATTTTAACAGTAGGAATTTGGATCAAAATATACACTAACCTTGACGCCAGTCATCTGTAGAGGTAGATGGTTAATTCTCAGAAATCTTTATTGAGGTAAAATAACCACGGTTAGTTATCATAAGTTCATTGTAGAACAAATACACTGATTTAAATTTCCATATAAATTCTCGGCAGTTCCAAAAGCAATAATAGGTGTCAAGAATTCAAAAACGGTTCAAATTAAAATTCAAATTTTTGAAACAGCAGGAGTTTCTTGCTTGTTCCCAAAATTGCATTTATGAAACAGCATAATTATAAAAAAATACAATAATTTTTTAACATAACAGAAGCGTTTTCTGCTGAAATTTAAATTTACTCCATTAATAATTCTTTCTTTCTTTCAATAGATACAAATATCTTACATTAATCTTGATAAAATTACTAGAGGACCAAAGAAACCCTTTCGATTTAATCTAAGTTATAAAAATCGTTTAAAAATTAGTGCACATATATTGATTGTGCTTGAATAAACTAATTTGTTCCAAAAATAAAAATAAAAGTTAATTGTCTTTGGTGTTGATACTCATTGTGTTCTGTCAGTGTATGGTGTACTACCTCTCGAAGTATTTAATATCAGCTAATTATAATTGACATTGATATACCTATTGCAAATAATATTAATTTAAGTACACTACTAATATAGAATTATATTTTTTAGATACAACAAAAGCTGAAAACTCGCATAATAATCTTGCCAGCAGGCGAACTCTGAAAGGCTGTGAATAAATGAACAGGATACCTTAACGTAACTCTTTCATGTACGCACACCACTAAGCCAGTATGTGGCCCTTTTCGAGCTGTGCGCTCACAGATACGTATAATTAGAGCAGCCGTTTTAATTAGAATGTAGTTTAATAGCTGAATGTTATTTATACTACATAAAACTCCAAGTCAGCTAATGACTTACCTGATGCAAAATTTTAACCGTTGCCTACAAACATAAACAATAACATCAAAACAAGTTATTATCATGGTATCTCAACGTATTATTACTCATTATAACTTATTCTCAATGTACAAATCGTTGCCATTTTTGAAAACTAAGATTTTTTAAATCGGTATCATAAGATACTCATCATTCAATGATATCAGGACTTTTGTCCTGATTTTATTGAAATTTTTTTTATTGAATTTATTTTAAGTCTACTTGTTATTAAAAGCAAACAATATAAACATCTTTTCATTTATTTTATTAACAGCATTTTTACGAATTATATTGATATTATGAGTGTTTTATTTAAATTCTAATTATGGTTTTATTATTCTTAATGGTGTCCATAGAATAAATAATTATAACAACAATATGTATTTTTTATTAATTACACTAAATCATATATTTTTAAAGATTTTAACCATAAATTGTCCAAACTAACAAAATCGTGGACAACAGAAACAAATAGATGAGGAGGTCTACTCCTTAATGCAAAATTGATATCAATCCAATCTATTGTCAGTGATACTTTTATATTGTTCTCATAACACAACAATTAGGAATTAGAATCGTTCTGCATCAACTACTCGTAGTTATACTAGTATACATCTATCAGAACAAAATGGATCTATTACGTTCCTAGTACTGCAAAAAAGTTACCCCACAGCTCTTAAATACCTTAATATTTTGCATTGCCGTCGAGTTCTATAACAAATTTCGATTTGTTTTTTTTAACAAATATAAACATTATACTAAAAGCACCTGCGAAATTTCATCTATAGTATAAGAATAATCTTATTTTTATGCTCAATGTTATTGGAGATGAATAAAAATAATATAATAACTACTCCATTATTTAGCTGAGTGGCACACCTAACATAGGCCGCTCCGCTGATCGTCCGCACAAAGCTCGCGGCCCGCAATCCCCGCTCAAAACCGAATACACGACCTCATTAAAAAATGAAACCTCACAAACAACCGTAAGCCTACAAAACCGCTCGTCAAAGCGAAAAGCGCCACGTAGCGGAGAGTAGCGGAACTTCAGCACTCGCGGAACCAGCCTCTGTGCTTTTTTAATTAGCCCCCTACAGTATGTGAATGCGTGTAATAAGTTAGATTTTTTTAACCCACGCGGTTAGTTTGGCTGCTTTAAGTAGAGTATGTTAATTCACAAGTAGCTTGCCACTCGTTTGCTATTTGAACTGTTCATAAAGGGCTTTGCGTGTAGTTAATAGGCCTTATTTGATAAAAATATAAGTATTAGCACAGGTTAATTAGCAGTAAATTGAAATAATGCAGACACAGAGTCGAGAAATAATGGCAATAGTATAATTCCTGTTTTTTTTTTATTTGTCAATATTAGTTATAGAGGATTTAAGGAGATTAAAAATTAAACAACTATCAACAAGACGCCTCTAGCCATCCCATCTGGAATTACGGCCGTAAGCATGTTTAATAAATTTCCTTTCACGTTATACTTTGGTATTGTTTGCTCAAATTATAGTAGTAAATAGCAAATAATACTAGCTTTTACTCCGTCCACGTGA